TTGATGCTCCATACAGATATGGATCACTGGGCAACAATAATGAGACCGTGGAGCAGAGTTATGGGTCCCCTGACCTCCAGAGGACTCTTTACCATATTGAAATATTAACCAAGCTTTCTAATTTCGTCCTTTTGCAGACAAAATGCCATGATGGTCACACTATCTACATTCTTGACAGAGAGAGACTCCCTTGCAAGGGAAATACAAGTGAGTCCTGTAGCAGCTCGTGGTAACTAGAGCCTGATATGGGCAGGAGAATTATCTGTAGGTGTGGTTGGGTGTTCAGGACATTGTCCTCTGTGAGGTACAGATTTCTATTTGGGAGATCTGTGGGCACCTACTCCTCCTCCATAGCTGGGCTGCAGAGAGAGGAGGCAGAAATCACAGATGATGCCTTGAGCTGTTAACACATCCATCACCACCTGTGCCCTTTAAGCTAATGTTTCATGTAATCAACACACTTTTATTAAAATGAGTGTTGAAGCACCTGTGAATGAGAAGCTAGAGGAAACTGGGAATTGGAGCTCCTCAAAGGCTTAAGCCTTCTGAGGGGCTTGAATTTACAGGGTTCAGGAATTCAAGGTTTAAGGAGTCTGGGTGTTAAGGTTCTAGATTCTAGATTTCCAGGTCCTGAACTTCTGACATCCTGAGGTGGTGGGTACTCAGCAGCCTGGGACAGCTATGGTTCTGGCTTCCACAATTCCATAGTTCCAGGTTGCTAAGGTTAACTGTTCTTAGGTCCTGGAAATGAGCCCCTCTGTCTGGGGAGGGTGGAAAGTGTGTTGTCAGCCAAGTCTCATCTGTTTTCCATTCCCCTCCCCCTCCTCCTTCCAGTTTCTCTTTTCCCTTCGTATACTTCCAATGAGTGGTGTTCCTCTCCAAATGCTGACTCAGGACATCCTTAGTAAGTCACACCCTGGGGACTGAAGAACTTTCCAAGGGCCAAGGCGACAGCTGTGGGAGGGACCCAGGCAGGGACCTTGCATCCTGACCAAGGTGGCCTTTTAGTTTCTCCTCCCCTCCCTGGAGGCCTCTTTTGAGCCTTTTGCTCCCCATGATTGACAAGGTAGCTGGGGCAACAGACCCTGGAGGGGACCCTTCTAGGGAAATGTCCCTTTACACAGTCCATCTGTGTCTTGCACACACTACCTCATTGGATCCTCAAGAGAGTCTGTACAGGACCACTGTCCTTGCTCACCTTCAGGTGAACAGTGACACACTTGAGGTCACATAATTGTCACAGTGACAGGCTCAGGGAGGTGATGATGGTAACGAGTTGGGTAGGCTTTTGGTCAGTTTTCTATGGCAAAAACTGAGGCTGATGTTGACCTGTTCCCTTCAGTTGATATATCGGTGTAAGAAAACCAGTCTCCATCTTCTGAAGAGTGAACAGAAAGAGGTATGTCTTGACGCCCTGCTGGTACAGTGTCCTTATTACTTTTCGATTGCTGTGACAGAACAACAAGACTGGGGGAAATTATAAAATAAAACACTTAATATGGGTCTCACAGTTCCAGAGGGATAGACCATCATGGTGAGAAGCATGGCAGCAGGCAGGCAGGTCTGGCACTGGATCAGTAGCTGAGAGCTTATATCTGGAGATACAAGTTCGAAACAGTGAGATTTAGAAGTGTGTGACTTTTGAAACCTCAGACCCCATCCCTCTTGACACACCTCCACTCCCAAGCCACATCTCCTAATCCTTCCCAAACAGTTTTCTAACCGAGAACCAAATATTGCAATATATGAGCCTATGGTGGCATTTCTCATATAACCCCACAGGTAGACTCTGCAGCCTATCACAGCAGCCTGTAAGAAAATTCAGGCCAGGCTTAGGCTTCTATTACAAGACAAGATAAAGTGAGACCTGTTCCTGACTCTAGGATGAACTCTGATTTTGAGTACTCCCTGGATCATGACCCCAGACTGAGCTGGGCTCTTTGATTCTCAAACATTTTACACAGGGTTAGTGACTGAGCTCTAACTTTGTGCACAGACATTTGACTGTGTGCTGAATTCTCACCCTGACTTGGACATGAACTCCACTCAATCTTTCCCCATCTGTCACGGCTCCAGAAGGGATGAGGAGGGGTTTGAGTCAACTGCCATATCTAGACCACAAATCCACAGCTGCCTCTCTTTTCTCCATGGCCTCAGCCATATTGGGCATTGGGCAATGAGTGAGGACAGCAGGGCCAGGCCAGTCCCTGTCCAATCATTGCCTGTGAAAGCCAGCTCCCACTGTGGCTGTGACAGCCAGTGTTCTGAAGCCCTGTGTTCTCATTGCAGGTTGGTGCCCAATGGCTCCATTTGACTCCCCGTGGCCTCTTCCTCTCATAATTTCTTCTATGAACCACACAAACTGTACCTGAGCCTGGAATCTCTTCTTCTCTCAGTGGTCTCCACACCTGTTATCACTACCAGAGAAATAAAAGCCCACTACATCCTGATGAATGTCTTGTCACAGTTCTTGCATTAGGATTGTTGGCAGGGATGGGCTATGTGTGGGGTGAGATGGTACCTAAGTGACAGGGACAGATCCAGAGATGGAAGGGCCATCAGAGCATACCTTACAGCTCTCCTTTATGTATAGAGTTGTGGAAGCCTGGAGAACGTGGCCACAAAGCCCCTGTGTGATTGTGGCAGAAACCCAAACCATCCAGCTGCAATTGTTCAAAATGTATATTGAGCACCTACTATGCACTAGATAGGCAGTGGGATGGGGTCATGCTGGATCACAACCTCACTCAGACTTTTGCCATGTCTCTTCAATGGTCCTAAGGACTGGTGCAGATTGAGGACCACCCTGTTTGAAGAGATGAAGGAGCATAGACAGACAGGCTCATGTGGCTGTGCCCTTTCCTGCCTGTCTCTTCCCCCAGGGGCAGTTTGATCCCTTGTTCTCTCCAGTCTCACTTAGCCCTCCCATTGCTACTCAGCACCTGGACATCACCTATCAGATTCTAAAAACCTTAGTCTCCCTGGGGAAGCCAAGGATCCTGGTGACACCACCTGGTCCCTGACTCCATTTCTTGTCCAGAGGCTGCAACTCATGAGGTCTCTCCATCACAGTTTACCACATCCTGATAACTACAGGAAGTAACTGATGTTCATAGAGGCAAAGTGATTCATTCAGGCCACATAGTAAGGAAAGGTCAGTGCCAGGATTTAAACCCACAGCTATGTGGCTCCTAGACTATCTTTGTATGGTGGTTTGAATAATAAATGTCACCCACAGTCTCTGGAATTCAAATACTTAGTCAGCAGTTGGTGTTATTGGCAGAGACTTAGGAAGTGTGGCCTTGCTACAGAAAGTATGTCACTGTTATCAGCTTTGATATTCTTCAGCCTTAGGACATTCCCTGTTGGCTCTATTTCCTGCTGGTGGCACAAGATGTCAGCTCTCAACTGCCCCAGTATACATTTTGCCTGTTGCCATATTTCCCAACCATGAAGGTGATGAACTCTTATCCTTCTAGAACTATCTGCCCAAATAAACTTCCTTCTAGAAGTCATGGTGTTTTAGGATGGGAATAGAGAATTAACTAACATAACTGGCTCAGACCAGGTGACCTCACAGCTTCCAATGTCCCACTTTCCTGTTCCTGTTGCCTTCCTCAAGGACAAGGACCCCTTGATGCTAGTCTTCTTGCACTTCTTCCATGCTGGCCCTCAATTTCCACTTCCTGTTCCCACTGTTCTCCCTACAAAAGCATTCTGCCTGGTAAGATGCAAAGCAGAAGTCAAGATGGTACAGGAGTTTGTCCCATGGGCCCTGCAGTCTCACTCTCCCAGGAGCCTTGCTTATTTCCCAGCAGCCATCTCATGGCTCTGCATAGTTCCAGAAAGGGGGCTTCTGCTCTTTCCCTCATGGGAAACACTGTGTCTTATTTTCTTAACTGTCTTTGGTCAGAGCTTTTTATCACAGCAAAAGAAAGAGAAAACAGATGTGTGTCTGTAACAGATAGTGAGATTGAAACAGTAATAAAGCCTCCCAATAAGAGACCTGGACCAAACAGATTCACTGCCATATCCTACCAAATAAAGAGTTAAGACCAAAGCTCTCTAATCTGTCTCATGAAATAGAAAGGGAAGGAAGGCTACTAAAATCATTGTATAAAGCCAATATTGCCCTAATTTCAAAATGGATAAAGACACAACAAAAAACAGATAACAATAACACAAATTTCCCTGATGAACACAAATCAAAAACTTCACAATAAAATTCTTCCTAACTAAATGCACGGGCACATTTAAGAAGATCATACACTATGATCAAATGAGATTCATTCTAGGGGCCCCAGATTGTCTCAACATACACTAACCACTAAGTGTAATTGTCCTGGCTAGTTTTATGTCAACTTGATACAAGCTAGTGTCATCTGAAAGGAGAAAAACACAATTGAGAAGTCTCCCATTAGATCCAGCTCTAAGAAATTTTGTTAATTAGTGATTGACAGTCCATGGTGGGTAGTGCTATCCCTGTGCTGGTGGTCCTGAACTCTATAATAAGTCAGGCTGAGCAAGCCATTAGGAGTAAGCCAGTAAGCACATGACCTCTGCATCAGTTCCTGCCTCCACATTCCTGCCATGTTTGAATTCTTGTACTGACTTGCTTCAGTTATAAACAAGGATGTGGAAGTATAAAGCTGAATAAACCCTTTCCTCCCAATGTTCCTTTGGTCATGGTGTTTCATAACAGTAATAGTAACCCTGACTAGACATAGATATGCTTAAAGACAGAGACCCCAGACATGTGAACATAGGCAGAGAAGGCCTCTGACAAAGCTCATATCAAAAACTTTGAAAAAAAAATTGGAACAGAATGAGCATACCTCAATATACCTCATCAGGGAGATTTATTACAAACCTATATCCAGCAGTATACTAAATGAAGAAAAACTAGAATCATTTCCTTTAAAATCAGGAATGAGGCAAGGGTGGCTCCTCATACTCGAAATAGTGCTGGAAGTCTTAGTTAAATGATGAGAGTGAAGAAAGAAACTAAAGGAATAAAACTAGGAAAAAGAAGAGAGGTTGTGAGTAAAGTGCCTGCCCTGCAAAGGTGAGGAACTGAGTTTGAGCCCCAGGACCCACATCAAAATGCTGGGTGTGGTATTCATGGAGTTCTAGTGCTGGGGAGATAGAGACAGGAGACTCTTTGCCATTGGCTGGCCAACCGGCCCAGGCTAACTGGTGAGTTCCAGGCCAATAAGAGACCCTGCCTCAAAAGAGATGATGGCATTCCTGGGGTTGGCACCATAATATTGTCTTCTGACCTGCGGCTACGTAGACACATATGGGCATACACACACCATTGACACACAGGTACCCCACCCATACATAAACATGTACATATTTAAAATATAGGAAAGGAAGAAGTTAAGATATCTGCATTGCAGATGCCATGACTCTATCATTAAAAGACCCTGAAGATGCCACTGGGGAACTCTCAGACCTGACAGACACTGTCAGCAAAACAGCACAACGCAGAGTCAACATAATAAAAGCCAGTAGGTTTTTTTTAATGTATACACCAATAGAGAACTTCTGTATATGCCAATAAAGAACTTGCTGAGAAATAAACCAGAGAAAATAATCCATTTGCACTACCTTCAAATACAAATTTCAGAAATAAACACAGGCAGAGAAGTGAAAGACTTCTACACTGAAAATATAACACACTGAAGAAGGTATTAGAAGACAGAAAGGCATTCCTTGCTGATGGATTGGCAGATTAACATTTTGGAATGTGCAACAGAAAGCAGTTTACAGATTCAATGAAATTCCCAATAATATTTGCTTGAAATACTTCAAGAAAAAATCATAAAATCCATAAAGAAGCACAAAAAGACCCAAGAGAGTCAAATAATCCTAAGCAGAAAGACAAATACTAGAGCTGTTAATATTCTGTTCTGCCCCCTGAAATTCCACCCCTTGGAGTCACTCTGTGTCAATAAAATCTCATTTTAAGGAAAAATCTTTATTTCTTCCTTCCTCTCTTCCACTTTTCTCCCACAAAGTGTGTATCCTCAAACTGCCTTCTCTCTCCCTCTCTCCTTTCTATTTTTCTATCTATCTTTCTAATAAACTCATTCCTCGTGGATGTAGCATCTTGGTTGTGAAATACTGGCTGCTGATGCTGCCACCATGTCTGCATGTATGCATCTGCTAGCCTTCTATTGCAACTTCTCAGCATGCCAGCAAGTTTTCCCCCATGTGTCAGCGCTGGCCCAGTCAGCCTTTGGTCACCTGCATGCATAATTCATGACATTGGCACCCAACATGGGGCTATCTTGCACCATCCCTTAGTCCTCGCTGACTCTCTGGGACGATGGAGGTCAGATTCATCTTGGTTCACTTGCTGGTGCCATGTGTCTTTCAGGCTTAAGCCCTTGGCCCTATCCCACTGTGATGACATATGGAGACACCCTATGCCCACTCAATTCCACCACCCATAGCCTTTGTTATCATGGTCCATTGGCTTTCTTGAGCCATTATCATTGGACCTCTGATCCTCTGGAATGCTGGAGATCAGTCTGCTAGGCCTTCTACCTCATAGTCGAATAATGTGCCTACCCAACTCTTATCCCAGCTTCTTTCTCCTTGCCAACTCCCTAATGCTCTTTCAGTTTCTGCTAACCAATTACATCATCACTTGGCTCCAGTTTTCTTTACAAAGCATGTATTCCCCTTGCCTCTGCTTGTTCTCCTTGTCTGCAATTCTATCTCTTAATCTTTTCTCTCTGCCACTTGACTATGTTGCTGGGACCTTCTGTTCCACCCACAGGACTTTGGTGTGGGACCCTTCCCCCCACACTGGATGCTCTGCCACTGCTCAGAGCCAAGCCCCTGCATCAGTCTATATTTCCTCTGCTGTTCCTGCTACCAGGCCTTGAGAGATGGCCACACTGACTTGTTTCTGACTAACTCTAAAATTCACTTTATATGTTCAGTTTATTTTGGAAAAAATACCCCACATGACCACATGGCCACCCACCATATTTCATAAGGGATGTCACATGTTCAGGTGCCATCTTGGCAAAGATCAAACTGGACAAGTCCTATGACCTCACCAACATCTTTACTAAGGGTAGCATCTTTTTGGGGGTCTGCACAACAACACCCCAATGCCAGCCTGAAGCAGTTACAGAAGAGAACACATCATCTCATGTTTGTTCCCTGTCCAGAATAGGCTGAAATCCTGGGTCCAAAGGAAAACCCCTGCAATAGAGGACTGATTAGCTATCTAAAACCCATTGATATTTGTTCATTGAAATGATTTTGCAATAAGATGGGACACTTGACCTTATTTATGAAGAACCAATGAAGTATTTATATGACCTTAATAAATTATGAGTACTACATAAATCATTCAGAATAATAATCTGGCTATACTCAAAGATCAGCACTACAG